GAGAATTATTGGGCGCTACTGTACATGTCATTTTATTTTTCAAATACCAAATGAAAATGATGGTGGTTTAGATTTGGATTTCATTAATGATTCACTAATTCCAAACTAAGAGATAAAATTAATTGACAGTGCTAGTTGTGCAATCAAATTGCCTGACAATTGTAGATTCAATTCCCCCAAGATCATATTAGACATTTCAGCTTGTGGATGATAATATCTATAGGAATTCGAATATTTAACCTAAAGCCCGTGACTACCTAATCTGATTCTCCAATCCTTATTACAACACGCAGGGTTAGATAAAAGTAAGTGTTTTTTCTAGGAGACCTCAGTCGAGGATAATTTCTGGGGAAAGATATGTTATTGATTTGGACGTAGGTCAGATTTGATGTCGTAGTTTGGCACCTGTCAAAGGCATTAACAAAAAGCTATGATCTAGCATAATGGGGGAGAGGAGAGGAGGGAGGGATAGAAAATCCAAAACCTGTGAATATCTCCTCCTCGGAATTATCGAAATCTTAGAAATACCATGTCACTGGGGTGTTATCAGGAAGTGACGTCACCAATCTGTATGCGACTTTTGTAAGTAGAGTGGATTGAAATGCGGCAATGGGGAAGACAAGACAAATAAGGTGTCAGGACACATTTTAATTTAAAAATGTGATTGGCAGTGGACAGACTGATCCTGGGATTTTACTGGCGGTCTTTGGGAGGCAAAATGTGTGTAAGGCTTGGTGTTCTCAAGACATGTAGGCTAATGGAAAAGACGGTTGGCAGACACTGCACATGGCCCCTGCCTAGCCCGCCTATTATATAGGTCTATAAGCGTATTATGCGCTCGTTATTAAAGTCGTTGTGATTATACTATTTGCATGTTGCCTTTTCACGTGCACCATATGGTATCCGTGGTATGCTGTATTGCAAAAGAAGCACTGAAGTCTTTTTGTTCTCTTTTATAAACTATAGTCCAGGCTACTGCACCGTGCAAATGTATGGTGTTTCCATATAGTGAAGTTAGTGCCCTGGACTACTCAATTCTTTAGTGTTATCATTTAGAGATCAAATAAATATTCAAGAGAAAAAACCTAGGACATTTAATGCATTGCTGGGTTAAGTGTTTTTGTAATAAACTATTAATGTAGCCTACATCCTACAGTTATTATTTGCTCTGTGAAATAACATAAAACCGTTTTCTTGCTTCTGCACCGTTTTATATCTAATAGTCTAGCCAGGTATTAAAAATTATTTCCTTTATAGATTAAATGTCCTTGAAATATGTGCATATCCCTTTTCAGGAAATTCATTGTGTTTATTAAATATTCCGTTTAATTTTCTTTCTAGTTCAGCTCAGTAGGGACTTTCCTAAAGTGCTAGACCATGTTAGGGAATCAGTCGATTGAAGGTGATACAGGGGCAATACAAAAATTAAAAGAATATAGTAGTGATATAGTGTTATTGATATGATTGTCGCGCCCCACCCATAATAACGATGATTTTATCTTAACATCACTCCCATTGCCACAAAAGCATTGTGTCTGCACTTTCATGTAACTTTTCAGAGGCGACTAAATGGCATGATGATCAAAGTGGTACATTTTGAGCAATCTAGACAAAATGAAAAAAATATGAACGCATCCTTTTGTGGTCACCTTAAATACCAGACACCTCTGCCATTTTCGGTATAGTGCACATTTTCCATCTGAAACCACACAAACAACGTGGAATGGTTCTTAATGCATTCGAACCACACAGTTCAGAAGTCAACCACTGGACTTTGATGATTTCCGCATAGCTCTCCCTTGGGAGACATTTATCACACTAACAGGAAAGAGAGCTGGCAAACCGCCTTTATTATTTATGTTTTTTATCACCGTTTGCCTTGGCCTACATACCGTGACCAATTTCCCTAATTGAGCAACAACGTTCAAACGTTCCAAACCTTGTTTAACGCCTCTTTTCGTTGTGGAAGATTTCATGTTATCTCTGCACTGTTTGCTGTGTAAATGCTATATTGAAAGCCAAAAGAATTTGGCAGTAAAGACCAATGGCACTCGGCCTTTTGTTGGCATGTGGTTATTTCTTGAAGTCAAGTTCCAATTTCATCGGATTGTTTTTTTTACCTCTGCTGATTTCATTTTAAGATGTCAATGAGTAAAAGTTCTATGAAACTTACGTGACGCTTCCGATAATTTTAACCAAGCTGTCCGTATAAATTGTTTAGTGTTCTGTAAGTTAATGTCTTTAAGTAAATATCACTGCTGCACCGATTATAAGATTCACATTCATGTGATCAGCCTCCCACAAACACGCCAACATAAGAAATTCATGAATACCTAGTTGCTGCTACTGCCCTTCCTCTCGGCGTTTCTACCGGTACCGGTGGACAAAGTGGGCATGCCTAAACTTTTCTATAAACTATTGCTACAAAGAGAAATGTAGAAACTAAGACAATTTCTTTCTGTGGGACATCCCCTCTCCCCACTAGCGCTTTCCATGAAAAAATCTAGATCTGTTGGTGAGGACCATTCATTAAAGAATTTTAATTTCTCTCAGGTAGGATTGTCAATTGTTAATTGTTCTTTAGCCGGAAGTTATTTCAGCATGGTATGTGACATTGATCCTGAATAATCAAATCCATAATCTGAATTAAAATGGTTAAATCGTTTATTCTGTGGACGCGCATTATTATCCAAACCATACGTCACCAGTGACTGGCTTATTACGGGCACACGCACACACACACGCACACACACACACACACACACACACGTTTACCAAGATACAACTACATTTATGAAAAGCAATAAGGTATGACCAGACATTAGATCCTGTCCTCAGTCAATGCTCAGCAAATGAATATCTTCGTAAAAATATTTCGAAATACATACCATCTCAAATACCGTTTTGATATAAGCTGATATATAAATGAGTATTACGTTGTTGCCAACTTTCTGTCTCAGGACTTTATCAAGACATACAGGTTTTTCCTGATCTGCGTCCATTATCATAAAAGTCAATTGTCAGCGAGCGTTGTCTCGATGCCTAATTAACGCTGGGCACAATTACAAATTGTATCAAAACAAGAATTAATGAATTGCACAATCACAGTTTTATCTAACGAAAACGACTCTATCCCTCTCCCAGACGAATTGGAATGTTTTGCCAAGTATGGTTGAGATAATGACTGCGAACAACTGTTGCCAAATATATTTGCGCCGGTACTTCATCATATTATACGCATCATCCATACACATTTGGTTACTGCTGCATGTGTCTTTCCATGCCCGGTCAAACAGCGCCAAGAAAGTTATGGCACATATTTTGTGATTCAGCACTATTTGTCAATCTACTTTCCACAGTCGTAAATCTGTGAGGTGAACACTCTCTTATGAGCTAAAGACTTAAAACGGACGAATTTATACATCTTTGTAGGTAAATGGTTAATTCTTTTAAAGGTCAAATACCATTGGACTGTAAGTTAATGAGTATTGGCGAGAAACAAGATGGCATTTCACCTTCAATCTGAAAGGTCGAAACCGGGCAATTGCCAAATGGAACGAAGAAATACAGATACAAACATACACACAAACACGCCTCAAAAATAAACAAGAATGATATGAAATATTAAAATAAGATAACATTTGAATAGATTAAAAGATAAGATGTAAAAAAAAAAAAAGAAAAAAAAACACCTTCTCTTGCTTTAATGTTTGGATAAAAAAAAGACATCAAGGTTAAGAAGATAAACAATAGAAAGGACTAATTAGGCGTAAATCAACAATGGGAAATCTCAATCTGAATGAAACCGTCCGTAAACGATAACGGTAATGTAGATTTCAAAGAGATGGAGATTCCCCATGGACAGTCTTCACCATAACTCGAAAGCACTCGAATTGTGCAACTAGGATAGAATCAGGGATTGGAATGCTTGTAACATGTATGGACTATGCAAAACATTGTTACGCACTGTCATACGGAATAAAGAATCGCAATATCGTGTCGCATACACAGTCACGAGGTTTTGAAGCGCCCCACTCCTTGCGAATTCTCGAGCATTTTTTTTTATTCTCGTGTGTTGTCACGTCAGTTCCTACAGCCTCGTAGAAATATTCCCATTGGCTGATATGCGGAATAGAATAGATTGAGCGAAACTGTCAAATTGTTATTATCCAACATTCCATCTTTACCCTAAATAATTAAGTCAGAAAAAGGACGAAGTAAGCATTGTTATTTGTAGCATATAAACGTATGAGTATGTATGTGTCATTTGTGTATGTTCATTGAAAAACGTTACTATGATGTTCAACATACTGTGCTACATTAGATCTACGATCCATTTTGATACTGACTGGACGGAACAAATACGTTTTAAGCTGTCAAATGTTGTAAAATCGGATCAAGTAAATTTCCCACAGGGAAGATACGCTTCTGTCTGTGGCTTGGATGTGAAAAATTGTTTTAAAATGACTCAAGCGGTGGTTGGTTGCGTTGGAATTAAAATTGCGTGGAGGTAATTGAAATCTTGTGTATTCCATTATCCTAGGGTCTAGCGTATGGTCATGGGAAAATCAGTATCATCAATTGTTTAATTGGTTTGTGACGACAACTTAATTATGGACATGTTTTCAAGGTTAGGCAAATTGATCTTAAGTATCAATTATTAAGATATTAATTATTCGATCGGTGAGAAGTTACATACAGGGTCAAAACAATTTTGACGTAAAAGTTTTATAATGCAGCAACATTCTGTCACTAGGTGGTAAATATCGGCCGCCCAAAGATAGTCACAGAACTTTCTATCCGTTTATGCATTAATACAATGACGTAGCTAATGATATAAACTAAGAGTATGTTTTCTATCAAAAATTGCTTCAATGTTCCTTTTTATATCGGAAGTAAACACGTGTCACGTGACCTTGCGTAAAAGTTGGCTGATAGAGCTTCACTGCGATTGCATTAAATACAGAGGCAAGCTTATTGGCGCTTAACGTTAACGCCAGATAGTTTTCCAGGGTCTGCTAATCTCTGTGCACTTATTAGAAGGTGTGGAGAGGAACTGTCGCAATTAGCACGGAAAACGAGAGATGTAGGGAATGATATTCCGAGAAAGTGAGACATTTTTGTACATCGGTTGGCAAGGCTTTCATCGAAGTTACTGTGTTCTTTTTGCAAGTTGAGCTGTGTTAGGCCGCGGTTCAAGTGAAGATTAGTCCTGTGTTATTATTATTATTATTTTTGTGTAAATGGACTATCCATAGCGCTTAAATCAACGCCGATATGCATTCATCAAGCGTTCATTAGACACCGTTGTGACGTGTAAGATCGGCACTAAACCAGGAAAACAATCGAAATTTGCATAACAGTCATACTGAGGTCATCAGTTGGCGTTTGGCCTACACATGTGCTATATCTTAAGGCGTCTTGATTGTTAAAACCATAACCACTTCAGTTGACGTGGTGTAAGGCTGCCACTATCCCCGAGGCAATTCCGTTAAAGTGCGCCGTTTGAGAGTTGGTACTTACAGTGGCACTCAAAGACATTGCTTTTGGCTGCTGCAGAGCCACCGACTTTGTGTTCTGAAATGGTTACTGTTTAGTTGAACTGTGAAGAAATCCAAGAAGATACGGATGCGTATTAAAGGTATTTCATTAAACAACTTATTCTCATAACTTTAAAAATCCGGTTTTAGCGATTCAATGACAATACAATTGAGAACTGTATATTCAATAGAAATTATCCAGTTGAAAAAACATTTTAAGATATGACCAACTGATTAAGCTTGTACGTCTATTGGTCCATAGTAATTTGTTTTTAATTGCTTATCTATTTGGAAACAAATAAAGAAATGACCATCTGCTTTAACTTGAACGTCTTTCGGTCTCTAGTAATCCATACGCAAGCATACAAGGTCAAAAACTTTGTCTATCAGAAGACCATGCCCGCAAGAAAATGCAGTAGTATCGAAGTAGCAAAGAAGCATTAGTGCAGTTGTGGTGGGGAGCATATTTGCAGTAGAAATGCAGTATAGCCTACTGCAATTCTACTTCAAAATTTACATAGGGTTGTACAGAGGAGGAGCATTAATGCAGTAGATTAGCAGCATGATAGAAGCATGTTTCAAATATGCTAATTAGCTCCCACATCGAAGCAGATTTTAGGCATGTTTGCAGTATGATTGCAGTAGTCTACTGCGCTGGAGTATCTACTGCGTTTTCATGCGGGGCATTCTCTAGTTGTGATATATATACATGTACTGCTGTATTGATTTGGTATGTTATTTACACGTATTGATATATCCAAAACACTATTTAAGATTACGATACCATTCATGACATTTTTTCTTTTTCATTTTTTTCTTACAAATAGTGATTGAAATACATGTAGAAATTTTTAAATAAAAGAATTTAAGTAGGCCTAGGCTACGGCAAATGTTCTTTTCTATTCATATGAATATTTTTTCTATATTTTCCCATTCATGACATTTTCCTGAAATGTCTTTTAATTTGAATTGTATTTTCTGCTTACAACGCGTAATTTAATTGCTCATACATTCAATTACCCCATTCCAAAGGGAATCGGGAATGAGGCATTCTGATAACACGGAAAAGATAACGCTATAATGGACTCTGATGTGACATATTCTCCTTTTGGAATAGCCTCTTATTAAGTGAAGTTTTTTTTTTTTTTTTTTTTTTTTTTTTTTTTTTTTTTTTTTTTGAAAGCAATTAGCCAAGTATGTGCCTAAGTCCCAAAAACCTGAAAAGAATCAGTAGCTCTTCAGAGACACTGGGGAGCATTTTATGTGTCATTTAATGCAACTAAAAGTATAGACAACGGAAGACAGTTTGGCGAACAGGATGGCTTTTAGTGCAACAAGATTTATATATGCGTGTCCGCAATTAATGACACAGCTGGGGAGCAACGCTGGGAGACGTTGAATACATGTATCAGAGTAAACTGCACTGTATATATATATATATTTTTGTTTTTGCTAAGTGTCTAGCAATAAGCGTCATAAAGCTCTAAATAAGATATTTTATATCTCACTCTTTATTATAATACTTGCCGTGTTGTTTGATCTCTCTCTCTATCTCCATTTTGTAAACTTCAGGGCATTCGTTCACTATATAACTGTACCTACATGCAAACATGGTTAAACAATCATGGAACAAACGCTGAGTTATTTATCAAGTATTATATAACCCAAATTATTATAATTTATAAAAATAAAGGCCATAATTTGAAAACCTCTACAAGTCGATAGCTTCTAACTGTATACAAACAATATGATCGTTCTTTCAATCCATTCTTGTATATGTGTCACTATACAGCCAAATAGGCCATATAATAAATACGCCCGGTCAACCATATAATTCATGCCCCGGGGTTATCTTTCGTATTGTTCACTGTTATCTTTTCGATATATGCTGTATTTTTGCACATTTTATGGACGAATTGTGAATGCGTGAAAGTGCCACAGGTGCAAAACGTAACTTGGATGATGAGAAAAGCTGGTTTGAAAGATTATTATATACATTATCCGGACACCCATCGGCGACAAGGATTGTTTTTTATGGAGATGGATGACTAATTTAATTGGTAAACAGAATTTATGTCTTTAAACTGTTTCTGGCCTTTTCTTGCCATTCATCTGTGACAAGATAAAGGACTGAAACCTAAAAACAATATAGAATCCAAAGCTGATAAAAAACAAACAAATATACCTAGCTGTTATTACTAATGTGATAGTGAGGCACCATCTTGCTTAAGTTACTTATTGTAATATGTTACTTTACTTTACTGTGTTTTTTGTGTTTTTTCTTAAGTGAAAAAAAAAAAGGCTATGACCGCCTCGTAATCCACGCTAAGTGCTGTATTAGGTTGGGAAATCTACTTGTAAATTAACAGCAGAGGGCTGCTAAGGAGGTGATTTTGTGATTGATTCATATAATATAATGTAAATATGCTAAATCTGTAACAATTAAAATACATAAGTTGTATGAAAAATCAAATTGGAGATCAGTGATGGAGGATCATGATGGCAAATTATAGCACTGAATATTGATTGGACCAAATGAAACCCGAGAATGCTTTTGTAACGTGATTTAAAATCACGTTTATAATGAGTGCAGGGTGGCACTGGGGTTCAAAAGTCGTCTAAATGAAGTACGCCTATGATGCGGCAAAATCTAATCAGCGTATAAAGTGCTAATAACATATTCCATATTTATCAGTTCTATCTAAAAGAATTATCTAAAAATACACTTGCAAACTGACAGGTAATCACACATCATATCATTCATGTTACTCAGATCCCATTATAATTGCTGTTGTGCAGTAATGGCCACTGACTCCTCACAAGGATATCATGCTATTAACAGTTCCAAACACGAGAAAACTGACAGAGTGAATTTTTTGGGATTGTCCTTGTCCTTCAGTGATTCCTTGGACCATTTGGTTTATACCTGCGGCATAACCAAGCAGGCTTATGGATATTTTCCTTGTGACCTTTTGGTGACCTTTTGCAAAACGAGGCCATTTTGGCCACAGGTTCTGTTGGAATCCTACCTTAAAGTTTGTTAATTAATCAATTATGGATACTACCAATTTCGTAGATAAAACGATATTAACGTGTTCTTACTGAACTGGAACTCATAATTACAACTGTTGCGCAGTTTGAAATGAAAACTTATTCCCCTATGTGGATAAAAACACTGCGATGCCCGGGTCTTCCTTTCATTCATTTCATATTGAGTTTAAGTGCAGGTTTCGCGGAATGATTAACTGCTTTGAGGAAGTATGTGCTCTGAACAGACATAACAACTCCTTAAGATATTGGTAACATGGGCACATAACGAGATTTAATAATACTTTACGGAATCGTGAATTCCCCATAGTTAGTGGAATATTATTTTTTTACGTTTCTGAGAAAGAAATTTGTCAAATAATGTAAGATAAACTAATGTAAACTATACGAAAAATGATAAAATAAAGATTCTGAAAGCAGATGTCAAAACTTTTGAATTGCAAGTTCAGTGAAAGTCATATTTGTGTTGAAACTCGAACAGTTGTGACGGAGGGTCTCAAGTTAATAATGCAACTGAATGATTTGTTAAACTCTTGTACATTAAGGTAGTAAAAGCAAAATGATATTCTCTTTTGGTTCATGCTGAAATAAAAAAAAACACTGAAATTAAAATATTTATGTAGCTTTGAAAAATATTTTAAAACTCAAGATTTAATGAAAAACATTGTTCGTATTTTGGCACCTAATGTTTGCTGGTGCATCTGGTATCAAATGCGTAACAAATGATACCATCCTACTAATCTGACAGTGTTTTCAGTTTAATCATGAAAAGGGATTTATTAAAATCGATTTCCAGGACTCACCTTTTCGTTGCAAAGTCACCAAACAATTACACCGATAAGACCGGGTTGTAAACGTAAGTTTGACTATTTGAATTCCGTTAAGTTGAGCTCTCAAACGACTGTTCAAATACGTATCTTGTATAACTGAAGACAATTCAAGTCTAAGAACTTGTTCAGACCGTGATTAGTTTCTTTCATCTCTTCAGTATGGTTGTTAAGTGCTTGTTTTAGGCCGATGTAACGATAATTCCATTAAGTACCCATACGTTTGAAGTTGCGTCAAAAGTAAGGAAATGACAGAAGCACCGGTCAAATAAGGCATTACGAAAGCTGACGCCACGTCATCACATATCCCATGATATGTTAGAGTGATATTATATGAACACTTTTACGTTACACACAAAAGTAGTTCAAGTGCGACACGGGTCAAATAAATGGATTCAATTTTGTTGTAGCTATACTTTCACTTGTGCAGTTGGGACTGTAAACTTGGTTTGTGAGTGCATTTCTTCAACAGAACATGCAGAGAGTATGCGGTTCTACTGATGGACGTTATGTCAACTTTTCTCTTGTTTATGCATATATAACCTTGTGACAACACACAATTTCCTGTTTTTTTTCTTTTACATTTGATGTGTAGTGAGATTCTTTCAACAGTGGTTAATGCTTTGGTTGTTCTTGATTCTAAACTTTCTGTTTATGCCATATCTTGGTATTCGAGAAATTGTCCAAAGAATCTATTTGCATGTAGAATATATGTAAACTTACCGCATTTTGGACACGAGGAATATTACACTCACCTTTAAAAGATATTCCAAACACCACCATCAACATATAAATAACAACAAATGTTGTTAACTATCTCTGTTTCGTACATGCTTTCATGAGTGTATGTAAGAGCATGCGACTGTGCGTATGTTACCTGTATGCATATGTTTGTGCTTATTTTACTTTATATGTGAGTATGTGCCCGCAGGTGTGTGCATAAAGACGTAATTCCCAGCCCCCGTTTTGATGTCGACAGAGTGTCATCACCCACTCTAGACAATAGTTAATCACCCAAAATACTTATAAAGATTAAAGACGCGCCTTCGCTTTTTGATTATATTCCTATTTGCACATTTCTAAAAATAAAGAACTTGAAATTTTCTCTCTGTGTCTAAGTACATATCAAGATTAATGTACCGGACTACGATGTAAACCTATTTCGCCTCCAAATACAATTTATAGTCTCTAGGCACGCTTGCGTGATTACAGAGGTCAAAGTCAGAGTCAACACAGAGAACATTATGAGCTAGTTATAATCCGTCAAGTGCATTCTGTAATGAACTGCTGCAATTCAATTTGTCAAAAGACCATTTCAGTTTGACGGACAATGCCATTCATTCATATCTTGTTAAAATAGTCAATAGTTGTAACGCATTCGTTTTGTATTCTATCACACAGAAGGCATAATCCACCACTCATGGCTTTATTGCTCTTCCGAAATAAGTGAGATGCTCTTTTTTGTATAATGACGTACATTAAGCGGATCCAATTAAGTGATTTGTTTGTGGAAGGCGTTATTGCAAATAAAGACAATTAAGACAGATTTCCCATACGGAGCTACTAATTGATTTGGCTTTTCTAGATATAATTTAACTTTCTAGGCTCCAGGAAATATGAAGTTGCTAATAACAGGCGAGATCGTCTCGGGACCATTTGATTATTTGGCATCTGTGCAATATGCCATTACAACAGAATTTTTTGCGAATATTATTTATTGCATTTACTAATATATGACTCGCAGCTTCAGTAATGCACTTCTCAAAGCTGCATTCTGAAATGAACAATATTTTAAGAGCTCAGGCCGCCTATCCAAAGTTGATCGTACGCTTTCAGGCATATAGAGCGACTGCCATTTTTACACTCCCCCTGAGTACTACAGCGAAATAAACGACAGCTTTATCTAACGGCTGTCTTGAATTCCATGGTTGTAGTATCACCCAGGGACCAAGATTGTGATATGTTTAAGTCTAGGAGTGTCATTCCCGGCTAACCAAACGTTCCAAATATCTATAAACGAATGTAGCATCTCGATTTGTCATCTTAAATGTCAAATCGTCATCTTTTGGAGGAGCACGTCATTGGCATTTGTTTCACCAACGGCCAGGTCCAAGTTGCCATTTGGAGTTCCCGCCAACACAAAATTGAAAAATTGGGAGTTTCCATTGGGCACAGAGACAGGAGTGACAGGCTGTTCCGGTCCTGCGTAACGTATGATGACGTAACATTTATAACTGTCCTTCAAGCTGAGTAATTTTTAGACTTGGCGGAGTCTAAAACTCTTGCAGGTCAGACAAAAAACGAAAAAGATATTTTAATACGATTCCTATATAAACAAGTAATTGATACATCATAGCAATTGTGTTGTTGTGAGACGATAGAACTTTGAATTGAATTACCAACCTTCTGGAACTCGTATGCTTTTCTACGTGGTTCTCCACCATTGACATTCAGTGCTTATCTCCCTTGTGATGATTAACACAACAAAGTCTTCTTCATTTGTTATTCTAAGGTGTTGCTTTGTTTGTATCAGGAAATTAGTCGTTGGCATAACATAAGACAGAGATAAATGGACATTTCTATTAATTGGCGTTTGATTCCAACGACCACGCGTAGCCACGAGTTGCTCCAACCTATATAAAGGACGGTTTGGCAGCGTATAACTCATGTATTGACTATCCTCTAGTATGAGATATATTTATTCATTCATTCGGCGAATTAGTTGAAAGTTTGTCCCAGGAGTAATCATAATTCTAAAAAAGGTGAGTTAACGCCCATTCCTCATGTTAAAGGATAGTATTTAGGTTGAGACACAGCAAACGGAATCAGAAGTTGAACGGCCGCCACGACTCTAATTGAGACTGTGTAAGAAATATTACGAGGTTCGAAAAATTATGTGCAGCGGTGAGTTCTTTTATGAATGGTTTTTGTACACGGATAGGTAAATGTATTTTATCAGTGATGTTGCTTTTAACGTATTTTCATCTGTATATTCAACTAATGATACCTTCCGCCGTCTTTGCTTGATGTTAAGTGAACCCTTAACTGATGATACTAGAACATTTTGGCTTAATTCATCAAACAGATATAAGCAGTATGCCTTGCTTTTGGTTTTGCACATAACTTTTATTTTAATTTCGATAACTTAAATTGATAACTTTAAGAAAGGTTCATTCACCTTGGTTTGTCATTCTTGTTACTTTTTGTAAACACGTTACTTATTGGCAGTGTTTGGTAAGCAGTGCTCAGTTAATCCCAAAATATGGAAACATTTCTTGGGCAGAAATGTTTTCTTGAACAGAAATGTTTTCACAGACTGGTATCTGATTTGTTTGAGAGAAGAGCAGGCGTCGCTTCGGTTTTGCCGTTTGACACTCAATTGGGTAAAAAACCTACATAAACCCATTAAACAAAATCATTTAGTTTAAGATAAGAATAAGACCTGAGGAGACCCTGTCAAAAAACAGATTCCAACTCAATTAAAACCATTGCTTAAGATAGATCCTTTTGTTTTAGTGTGGACGTGTTTTGGTTTTGCAATTAGCATCTGTTGTAAACAGAAAAACAAAACCGTGGAAAGTCTGCATTGCATCCAATATATGAAAATGATTTTTAAAACTTTTTACCGGCATTTACTTGCTACTTTAAAAGCTACATATTAGTATGTACAAAAACTTTCTCCAACCATTACGTTTATTGATTTTCAGCAGTTGTATTCATATATCATCAACGACATTGCACATTTCCTCACATACTGCAAATTAAACGGCATTGTGATGAGTATTTTACGAGTTAATACTTTTATTTTTATTACTCATGCAGTGAAAAATCAAACTAACATAAAAAGCCAAGTACACCATCATAAAATTAACGACAAGCTTGTGTATAGAAAGATAAGAAGACACGCTTTTACTTGCGCGAACTTTATTTAAATCTGGATCTTACAGTTACGTCTCAAGATAGATTGGCACTTATTACTGGCGAGATTGATCAATGTTAACATCATCAAAAGAAACCCTCTGATAATAAGTGAGAGAAAAAGATCTACTTGTTTCCTTTCCTGTCTGTTATGTATCTGACTGTTAAATGCTGTTCATTTTATAGATGCCATATCCTAATACTCGATGTTTATTTCATGTTCATCTGTGGGTTGATGGATAAGTTTTTTCACATTTGGGGGTTCTTTTTACAAACGATTATTGGTTGTCTACATGTCTATCTCTCTTTACTGATACAAATGTGTTTCTAATTAAGAGTGAGACAGGCGGATCTTCGATTACTTCACGTCAAAGTCACTTAAAGTTGTACAGAGGATACTCCAACTATTTCACTTATTTCAAATATGATCGTTCTATTTTTGTGAAAATGAGTGTTTTTGTGTCCTTACTTTGACACGTTAGTTTTAGCAAAACAAAACTAATGATAGCTCGGACCTACTAAGCCAAAAGCATGATTGTTTTTCCTTCCCACCAACCGCCCGATATAAAAAATCGGCAAAGTGAAAGAATTTATATAATTCATTGTTTCCTACTTATTATTTCTATGGTTGATACTGTGTGAACTATATCTCCGAACCACTTGCTTTATGTGATGTCCGTCCAGCAATCTTGTAATATGTGGTTTTGGCTTTAAGAAGAGCAAGCGCATAAATAATTCTATTACTATGGGACTACAATTACGTTATACGCCTATAACTCGTGTTATTTATTGCCAACACCATCCACAAAGTAAGTACTTTTTGTCAGCAGGTTTGAAATAATATCAACGGTACACTAGTTAAGGCATAACAAATCGTGTCAAACAACCAAACCTATGTATTTGCTTCACTGTAAAATGACTTACCATTACGAAACTATTGTGGTTTTGTCTGTTCTGCGTGAGAATGATAAAAAAGGACACTTTAAAATAAGTGCATCTAAACTGCAGCTCGTTAATTTGAACTTCCCGGTCTTTTAAAAAGGATTAAATGTAATTGTGCGCATGAATGAAATGATTTGCCAATGAAATATTAACACATACACGAAAGTAGAGATTCCCTTCTCATGCTTTGTCTATTGATGCGCTGCCTTCTAACTTAACTCATTTGTCTGTTTGCAGGCAAGAAAATGGTGTGCTTGCAGTTATTTCTGCTCTTGGTCGTATCAAGCGTCACAGACTCATACGAGCAATCATCCTCGATCGACAACGGTCCTTTGAAAGAGGACCCTGATGGTTCCACGTATGACATTTTTGAGAGTTTAGATGACTCAAATATGAATCCTGCACTCCTCAAGCCTAAAGATGGAGCCGATACTTTCTTTTTCAAAATCAAACGTTATTGTTCATGGTGCTTAAGGCAAACCCCGCCCTGTAGTGACGCTTGGAAATGTATGATGTATATGGAGGCCATGAAATGGAAACGCTGTATCCCCTGTCCCTCTACCTTACCTGGTATACAGTGCGACCCATCTTGCCAGGACACCGACACCTTTAAACTCCCCGCAAAACATTCTGTGTATGAAAACAGCGGAGCACCTGCACCCGACATTGCTCATTGCTGGAACAATTGCTCAGCAACAGATGGTCGCATTGGATGTCTCTATTTGTGCTTGGCTCACCAGGAAATATTTAACGAAATACAGGAAGCCCTTTTACAGAGTGATGAGAACGATATGATGAATGATAAAAATGAACAAAAATCTTTAGACAGAAGCGACAAAAAGCGAGGATTCCCCGTTTTTAGTGGTAAACGTGGATTCCCCGTGTTTAGTGGTAAGCGCGGGTTTCCTGTGTTTAGTGGAAAACGAGGATTTCCTGTATTTAGCGGTAAACGAGGATTCCCTATGTTTAACGGTAAGCGTGGATTCCCCATGTTTAGTGGCAAGAGAGGGTTCCCTGTGTTTAGTGGTAAACGAGGCTTTCCCGTATTTAGCGGTAAACGAGGATTCCCCATGTTTAGTGGTAAAAGGGGATTCCCTATGTTTAGTGGGAAAAGAGGGTTTCCCGTATTTAGCGGTAAACGAGGATTCCCTATTTTCGGCGGAAAGCGAGGATTTCCCATGTTTTCAGCAGCTGGAAAACGCAGCTTCACACCCTTTGTAAACGAAAAAGGTATGGAATTGGACAAACGAGGATTTCCAATATTTTCAGCAGCTGGAAAACGCAGCTTTCCACTCTTTTTGAACGAAGATGGTGTGGAACTGGACAAACGAGGATTCCCGATATTTCAGAAGATAAAGCGTGGATTCCCCGTATTTCTCCATAGGCGGTCACTCAACGAGGAGAACAAGGACCAAAAACAGTTCTTATCAAACGAATCAAGAGAAATCGAAATGGTCGATACGGACCAGTCAACGAAAAACGCTGCACCTACACAGAATATGTCTTATGATGACAGCGAACCACTGAGCACGTTAAAGCGTGGTTTTCCAATCTCTCAGTTGGTACTCCATCACCGAGGTGTAGGCAGGATGAACAAGGTCACTTTGCCAAAACCCAACATTGCCTTGTCCACCATTAAAGGATGTCTTGATGTTTGTAAGGCTACCTCTTCTGCTGTCTTTTGGTTAAAAAATAAAGTGGACTGTACTAGTATATGTTCACTACACGGAAGTCTCACGTACCGGAAATGATATTTCGGGGTAGACACTAGAGCCTCTGGATCTTGATATTTCATCCTCTTGCGAACAAGTCAGCAATAGAGAATATAAAGCACTTATTTGTTTGCACACAAGGGCAGTATTATTATTTACAGTAATTTTAATTTGCTGGCGTGCATTTGCCGTGGTCTATATTAGACGAACACTGGTATCGAGGAATGAAAACCAGGCAAAACGCATTGTGCCGTTTAATTGTGTCATATGGGTTCAAATATCATGTACAGTATGCTAAAGCAGTCCTTGTAACACATCATCAGCACAAACTGTCTTCTGTATAGTAAAGAATCCCTCTAACTTCGGGTGGATTTTTATTCTCTAGGATGTGAAACATTATATTGCATTATCAGTTCGTTAAATGTGTCAGAAAGACTGACTCAGTTGTACTGTCCACATGGCTACGTGCTGACATCTGGCTATCAGACACTTTGCTATGAACATTATGAACAGAGTCAGAGCCTTATATTGGAAATTGAGAATTGTAAAAATGTAAGAAAATTGTGGATTCGACTTGAAAAATTGTAGTTTTACAACCGTTAAATATTTATGTATGATAACATTTACTACTATGCCGCAAAAGCTGCGCAAGTGAAATACCGCGATCCCAACCTTTCAGTGGTTCTAGACTGTGAAAAAAAGCAAAATAGTAATAAAAAATAACATGAACAAACTGTTGGTGTTATTGTTCTTATCTGATCAGATGCAGGAGCTAAATACATTCATCCAAAAACTGCAATTTTTACAAATGAGGTTAAACCAGGTAAAGAATTCATGGTGTAGCTTTTGGCAAAAATTGACTTGAATTAGTCTTGTTTGACTCCTCTGTGACAAGATGCATGTTTGCGTATTTCATTTCTAATTCACGTGTTGCAGTAAGGGGAATGGCTACAGATATCGTCATATTATAACTGTTTTAACTTCCTTATCTGATTGTCTTTAACCATAATTACATCTGCATAGAACCTTGCATCATCTATTTAAAAATACGAGGACAATATACTCTTGAAAATATTCTAAACTAGGATTTCGCTCGAGAAAAAAATTCTCTTCATCACGAATCATTGTTCTACCTGTCCTATACTTGGATTCAGTTGTCTTTTTGGTCAACCGTATGTTCTAAGTGAGTCAAATTTTATTTAGACCGACATGTCTTCCTAACATTTTAGAAGGAAAAATCGACATCTGAAACTCTGTGACGTTTTAAGGACTAAATTGGTAATGTTCGGCAGCTTCGCACCATATTTAGACATAAAAAGACTTCGGAACATTCTTTATTCCCCATCTTCCCTATTTTTGGTCCGATTTCGTATCTCTTGTTATTCAGTCTGGTGGTCTGATTGAAACATGGTTTCAAACATTGATGGATACGTCGATGTATTTGACGCATGTATGTTTGCACAAGACTTAAACTAACGTTGGATTTTAATAAAGTTACAAAGCAGTTTTAGGACATCAGATCAAAACTGACGGAAATCAACCACAAACTTTAAATACTGATTCCCTTAAAAGAAAAAAATCGCGATATCGCTGTAGGGAGACCGGGGCTAGTTGGCTAAGTTAGAGACTGGACTTGTAGAGCCAACTGGGAATGAGTTCGAGCAACAAAACATATTTTAGAACAAGTGCCAAGGACTTAAGCTTCATATCAGCGTCATTATTAGCAATTATAATGCCAGATGGCTTGCAATTTGACAAAAACTACACCTGACGTCAGGGAGCCCAAATAGCCCCGGTCTCCCCTTTTGCTTCTGGCACAACGTGTTTCAACACACGGCTAAGTAAAAAGACTTTCCCTACAAACATCACAAAGTGCATTACGCTTTTTGATTTTTGCCATTGAATAATTTAGTTTAATTACCAAAAATAAAATACGCATATAAATAGCTGATAGGAGTCAGTACTTGAAAATAAAATGTTATGTTATCAAAATACCCCTCACTGGATATTGTCATTAAGAATACATGAAATGAAAGACAGACACCAAGACTGAAAATACACGATGCACTCTTTTTGTCTGGTATGAGATTCACAGTCAATAAACCATGGGCTCCTGTAATGTCTTGGACATTTATGTCCAAATAATCAAAGAAACGGAAAAAATCAGGAAATGGACAAAACAGTCACCGAGTCGTTTTCAATCCATCATTTACACGTACAATAGACTGGCAAAGTGTTCATTAGGTTGTAGTGTTTCAGTAACGTGTTGCATCTAACAAAAGGAATGAAATTTTCAACTTTGACGTGTTTTGAATGTATACGTAACAGCACACACGCTAGGGAATAGCAAGTATTCTTAAGAGTCCGTATACGTATAGCATTAGAAAGTCTAGTTTAAAGTTTATTGTTGCATTAACGCAAATGGGGTCGTAAGAACCCCGATAATTTGGATCAGCCAAATTTCACATAAAAATATTTAGTCAATTTAACCGTAGAGAATACGTCTTTTGTCTCTTCTTTAAAATACAGAAATCGGGAGAAACTTCTTAATAAGTGACGTTACCCACAGACATGCAGGAAACCGCTTGTTACGCAGCCCAAGAATATAAAGTGATACATTTGAGTCCAGACCTGCACCCAAAGGCAGGCAATAAACAGGACAAGCCATCCCATGCTAAGAGGGTCCAGCCCACTTCCCTGTTACCAGCCCAGCAGAAAAAGTACCCCCAAAAACTTTTAGAGATGGCCACGGTAATTGAACTTCACTGCTGCTTATGGGACACAGATGATTGCACTTTGAGTTATTTTTCATTAATCTACATACTACGCACTTCAGTTATTAAGAAACCTTTTCTGTGATATTCATCGCCCGCATAAGCCCACGCAGAACCATTATCAAATCGGATGTTATTGCAATTTCTCTCAAACTCACAGAATTAAATTTCGTTATGTAGCCAATTCCTCGTGTTGGGAATACTTAGCGTAGTTAAAATGTAAATGACATTCGTCGCACGAGGTACTCAGAAGACACGCTTCATCAGATAAACACAAAGATGTAAAAAAAAACCTAAAGGGGATTATATAAGACATTCCCATTTGACATTTTTACTGTTCGACAAACCTCAGATTTGTGATCAGTTTCCAAACCCGGCGAAACAAGAATGTAATTGCAGACACTACATATTTTACTCCCTATCAGATACCAGCAGATAAGATGACGCCAATATTGTGCAAAATTTCTTCACGGTGTAAAAATGCATACAGCTAGCGAATAGTAAGATTAAAATATCGGTAAATATCAAGTGAAAAAAATCTCTGTGTGTCTCTCGAGGGTATCCAAATTCCACGCTGGCGTATTTGAGTTGGCAGGAGGATAAAGGATACATTTGAATGTCAAAATAACAATAGAATCATTTTCTTACCAAGGGGAGTTCGGAGGGCTTCATGTGAGCTTAGACACTACTCTGCTGGGCATTATCTGTCGTCTTGTTTGGGTTTCGTGTTTCACAGAAACGTAAACAGTATATTTCACGAGGAATCATCTCGGCACACACATTTATTAGCACGCCTCGCCGTTTCAGATAATCATTTCTTGGTTCAGTACACTGGCATTCGCATTTATCACACATACTCGGAAGAAAAGCGTTAATCTCGGCCAAGTATGATAATTGTTTACCGAACGGTTCGCCATTGCTTGCAATTGCGAGGTAATAGGTAAAATGGAAACAGTTTCCTAGTCTGTGCCTCAAGAGCCTGTGAGCAATGAAGTCTGTTTTTCTCATGATTTTTGCGAGCTCGGGCCTCGTGTGTTTTTCACACCACAACAGCAACGGTGTAATTTAGATGAAGTAGTGTTCTTACTTACCGGGAATGACACTGGGAAAAATATTACATTGCACAACTCGCGCAGTCTCTAGCTTCACCTTTTTTTTATACAGAGCAGTGAAAATAAATCACCTTTTATAACGTTTTGATATGATTCGATTTCCAGAAACATTGTCTTCAACTTAAAAATTAAGGTATACATAAATTTGACAATCAGCATCAAATTGAATCATATATTAGACAATAAATGTTATTTTGGCCCAGCCAGACTTTCATAACGTTCTTTAAATACACGAATGGAGGGAGATTGGACGTCTTTGTCTGTTGGTAAACCTGACGTCTCCTTCTGTTATATATATATATATATATATATATATATATATATATATATATATATATATATCCCGCCTCCGTTTCATTGGTATGGCTGACAAACCCACACCTCACCGTGATTGCTGTGATTATCTTACGTTACTGCACTGTGTGGCCGAATTAAACAGTAATACGCTGCAACATTAGAATGAATGACAGCTGTCATTGCCATCAACTTGATTGGGACGTATAAAGTATGGGCACTTAGGTGTTATCATTTTCACTTTGTCTTTGCTTGGTACAATCGTCCCCGACGGAATCATTGCAATAAACTGAAGTAAAAGTAACCGCGCTTTTAGAGGATATAGTCGAAATTGTGCTGAAAGTACAATGTTCTTGAATAACTTTCGGTGAGGGAATTAGAAAATTGATGATTGCACCCTTTGTACATGACTTTTATGATGCTGTTCGGGGTTTTCATCTTGTTGTCTGGAATTTCATTAGATATAAGAGCAAACAGATAAAATGCATGCACCTATAAATATTTGACAACTGGGCTGCTATTTGACTATTTTCAAAGTGTGTTCACTGTTAGATAACTGTTTTTGTTTCGTCCTGAAATTATACCATATGGTTAACAACTTATATATATATACATATTAAACACCCTCGCCTGCGTTTAGCTGATGCCTGCTACCTTTTAGGATGGTTCATAGTGGTTCAGAGTTATTTTATCCAGGATCATGCAGCATAATTTGGTCTATGACACGTAGATCTTTGCTCTATAGGTCTCAAATAACGGCAGAGTTGGGCATAAGTAAATTTATACACAAAAACGCAACGGACGAGTGCAGCAAAGCCGGTGTACTTATGCATTGTAATATGTTTTTTGAAGTATGACATGCAAAAACAATAGGCGGCCATTCATCTCCGGTCCGACTATTTCATCACACTTTCTTGGTCGTATAATGATACTTGTGACGATTTGCCAACCACTGATTGCCTTATACCGAATACTCATCTCAATCTAGCAGCCAAGCAATTAATCTTAAGCAGTTTAAAGCTTATCGCTTCGCTTCTCTTATCTTCTCCCTTCCGGTGGCTAGCTACGGCCGATATATCGGACAGAGTGCGCTCGGTGAAATATTAGCAAAGCATCGCAATCTGTCCGAAACATTTAACTCACGTTTGGGTTATGATTGAGTTCAAAACTTTTTAGATATTTAGCTGTCAGAAATATCAAAATATTTTATTAATTACTGACCATTATAACAGCGGTGATAATTGAAAAGTTGGCAAGTAAGGCGAGTGTGATTACATTACCCTTGGTTAAGTTCGTGGGTAATTTTCCACAGAGACCGTGATATCAGAAGACAGGAATGACATTTGTAATTAATTGCTTTTGTTAATTGTTTCTTGATGAGTAAGACTGCTGTTATCTATCCTACACATGTCTTTTGTATGACACACAAGCACAGCTCAGCTGCTCACAACCAGCAAGCTTTAGATATATGTGCCTACATGTAGATCTATGTGTATTTTACAGTGGCACTTTGG